CGCAGCAGGCACGAGGAAAAGCGACAGCGCAGGCCGAAGCGCAGCTTTGCTGTGGCTGCGAACTCGCGAGGGCAAGCAGCGCATATGAGGATGATGAGCATCAGATGTCGGACGCTCCAGTTTTTCCGATGTGTCGGCCCCCAGAAGTCTCGACCCTCTCCCCAGGATCGGTTTTTCATCCGGGATCGTTTTTACACGGTCCCGGGGCCCAGAACAGGGATCCGGAGGCCGCGTCACGCTTTCGGAGCGCCGGATGTCTGGAGACGGCGCTGGCGGGCCAAGATACAATTTGCATGCGTCGGCATGCGTTGGCATGCGTTGGCATGCATTGGCATGCAAATTGGCATGCAAATTGGCATGCGTTGACATGCATTGGCATGCATTGGCATGCATTGGCATGCATTGGCATGCATTAGTGCATCGGCATGCAAATTGGCATGCATTGGCATGCATTGGCATGCATCGGCATGCAAATTGGCATGCACCGGCATGCATTGGCATGCATTGGCATGCGTTGGCATACATTGGCATGCATTGGCTGCATTGGCATGCGTTGGCATGCGTTGGCATGAAATAGCATGCAGTGGCATGCATTGGCATGCTTTGGCATGCATGGGCATGCTTTGCCATGCACTGGCATGCGTTGGCATGCATTGGCATGCATTGGCATGCTTGGGCATGCATTGGCATGCTTGGGCATGCATTGGCATGCATTGGCATGCTTGGGCATACATTGGCATCCCATAACATGCATTGGCACGCCTTGGCATGCATTGGCATGCATTGGCCGCTGCCGCCGTCGTCGTCGTCGCCGTCGACGTCGTCGCCGCCGCCGTCGTCGTCGTCGCCGTCGTCGCCGTCGTCGCCATAATCATCATCATCATCATCATCATCATCATCATCATCATCATCATCATCATCATCATCATCACCACCATCATCAGCATCATCATTATCATTATCACCATGCCATAATCATCATTGTCATCAAGAGCATCGTCCTCCTTCTCCTCCTCATCATCACCATCATCACCGTCATCATCAAACTACCTTCATCATCACCATGAACGCTATCATGCGCTGGAAGCGAGACGTCAAGCTCCGGCGCCTACACAAGCTTGCTCGGCGCCCCCCCAAGGTGGCCAAGGCGATATCCCCAGGCCCCAGGCCCACGCCAGGGCCCCCCTCCGGCGCCTTCCCCGCTCCCCCCGCCCCGCCACCCGCGGGCCGCCCCTCCGGCGTCCCCCCGAGTCCCCCCCGTGCCCCACCTGGGACACCCCCCCGGCGATATCCCCAGGCCCGCACTGGAGTCCCCCTGCGGCGCCCCCCCTGGGCCCCTCTCTGGCGCCTCCCCCTCCTCTGGGGGGCCCCTCCGGCGCCCCCTCCTCCCCGCCCCCCGGGGGGGAGGAAAAAAAAAAAAAAGCCTCGAGGGAAAACCAAAAAGCCTCCGAGGGAAACAAAAAAACTTCCAAGCTCCCCAGACCCCCCCGGAGCCCCCCCCTGATGGAAAACAAAAAAAGCTACGGGGGAGGGGGGGGGGGGGAAGCCAAGCCCGCCCCAAAAACGTCCCGTGACCTGGGCGGAGTGGCGGGATGGGCCGACGGCCATGAGCATCCGCATGAAAGCCGCCACTGCCCCTGGGCCCCCGTCGCCCTTTCGCTTTCGCCTCTTGAGCTCAAGTTCTCTTCGCAAGGTCAGCGGAGCCAGCCGTGAGGCCTTTGCAGTAGCGCTGCGATTGCGCCTTGTACTTCGAGAGAAAACTTACGATCAGGCTGGACATTCGCCGTCCCGGCGGCCAGACCCGGGCCGCCCAGCGCGCGCACCAGAGGAGTACCCAGAGAGAGCTGCTAGGTCGAAAATCTGATCACGTATGCGCAGCTGCAGAGCAGAGCTGCTCGCGTTGCGAGCAGGAACTTTGAGACGACCCCCTGTAGCGTTTGCTCAGCCGTTGGGCAGGTCTGCTGACCAGATCTGCAGATTCCGAACTGGCGACACGGCGACACTCTGGGTTATCTTTCTCTTCTGGGCCAGGGTGCGCTCAATGAGGCATCCGCATGCGAACCGCATCCCTACCGGTCCAAATCTTTGGAGGCCCCAGGACACCAGTGGATGCTCAGAAACTGCGAGCGGGGACGAGCGAAATGAAGCCCCGCTGGTGAACCCCCCCCCCTGCCACGAATCAACGAGCGGCGAAGGTAGGGCTTGGATATATCGCCGATGACACACGTCAGACCCTGGACGCACCTGCTACGCAGGCCCGACTCGAGCCAGGCCCGAACAACAAATGAGCGAGTGCGTGTGGACAAGTAAAACGACGCGAAGATCGGGACAAAATCGGATCGGGATAATCCCACCAGCCCTCTGGGCGTGGGTGGTTTAGGGAGTTTCCTCTTCCATCTTCCCTCCTTCCCCTTCGGGGAGGGGTTTACCCCTCCCCCTAACCCCCTCCCCTGGACCTGGACGGGGGGTTCCGCGACGCGTTGGAGCGTCCAAGATGGCCCAAGACGGCTCCAAGAGGGCCTCGGAGAGGCCAAGATGACCTCCAAGATGCCTCGAGATAGCCCCAGATGCCTCAAGATGGCTCCGAAGATGCTCCAATAGGCCCGAAGACCGCCCCAAGAGGGCTCCAAGAGGCCAACTAGCTTTCCCAGGAGGCCTCCAAGAGGCCAAAATCCTTCAAAAACCTAGGGAAAATCAATGTGTTTTGCTTTCTCGCCTTTTCGCTTCCGATGGCCATTCGAGGCCTCAAGATGGCTCCAAGATGGCCCAAGAGGGCCCCAAGAGGGGCCCAAGATGGCCCCAAGACGGCCCCAAGAGCGCCCAAGAGCGCCCCAAGAGCGCTCCAAGAGGGGCCCAAGAGGCGATTTTAGACGCTCTAGAGG